ACACAGAGAAACCCTGTCTCAAAAAAAAAAAAAGTCGACAATTGTGGAGGGCTAGCTTTGAACTGCACAGAAACTCTGTGCAGGGGAGACTTGAGGTAGCATTCTCACTGACAGGCTTGGCAAACCAAGTCAGGAGGAGGCAAACCTCTCCCATCAGTAGAGTGCCTTGCCAATGGTCAGTCCTTGAGAACACAGATGTGCACCGTAGTTCAAAGGCTCTGATTAGGTTGTGGTTTGTCTTCTGATGAGGTGTTTTTACATATTTTATAACAGCAAAAGTTATTCCCATAACACCAGGCTTTTTGTTTAGATTAACTAGGGCACAAAGCTCTTGAAATTATTTGCAACAAAGTTATTACTTTATACAACTATTTTCAAGTACTATGGGAACCTAGCTTGGATTGTGATTTGAGTATTATAAAGGAGCACTGGCTTTGCAACTTTGTATGCAGTTGTATCTCCCAATCTGCATCCCCTGTGTCCTGATTTCTGTGGCACTACCCAGGGTCATCCATAACCGAGGTGGTTGGGGAAGGGTCCCCAACAGGCAATCATACCAAAAGCAATCTACAGATTCAATGTAATACCCATCAAGCTCCCAGCAAAATTCTTCACAAACCTCTAAAGAATGGTACTCAACTTCATATGGAAAAGAAAAGAACCCAGGATAGCCAAAACAATCCTGTATAATAAAAGAACTTCTCTAGGCATCAGAATCCCTGACTTCAAACTCTATTACAGAGCTACAGTACTGAAAACAGCATGGTTTGGCATAAGAACAGACAGGAGGCCCAATGGAACTGAACAGAAGACCCGGATATTAATCCACACATCTTTGAACATCTGATTTTAAACCAAAAAAAAAAAGAGCAAAGAAGCAAAAAAATCAAATGAAAAAAAGAAAGCATATTTAACAAGTGTTGCTGGCATAACTGGATATCAACATGTAGAAGAATGAAAATAGACCCATATCTATCACCATACACAAAATTCAAGTCTAAATGGATCAAAGACCTCAACATAAAGCCAGCCACACTGGACCTTATAGAAGAGAAAGTGGGAAGTACACTTGAATGCATAGGCACTTCCTAAATATAACCCCAGCAGCATAGACACTGAGAGAAACAATTAATAAATGGGACCTCCTGAAACTGAAAAGCTTCTGTAAAGCAAAGGGCATGGTCAACAAGACAAAACAGCCTACAGAATGGGAAAAGATCTTCACTAACCCCACATCAGATAGAAGACAGATCTCCAAAATATACACAGAATTCAAGAAATTGGTCATCAAAAGAACAAATAATCTAATTTAAAAAATGGAGTACAGACCTAAACAGAGAACTCTCAACAGAGGAATCTAAAATGGCTGAAAGACACATAAGGAAATGTTCAACATCCTTACTCATCAGAGAAATACAAATCAAAATAACTCTGAGATTCCATCTTACACCTGTAAAAATGACCAAGATCAAAAACACTGATGACAACTTATGCTGGAGAGGTTGTGGGGAAAAGGGAACACTTCTGTATTGCTGGTGGGAGTGCAAGCTGGTACAGACCCTTTGGATGTCAGTATGCCATTTGTCAGAAAATTAGGAACAACCTTCCTCAAGACCCAGAAATACCACTTTTGGGTATATATCCAAAGGATGCTCAATCGTGCCGCAAGGATATGTGCTCAACTATGTTCATAGCAGCTTTGTTTGTCATAGTCAGAACTTGGAAACAACCTAAATGCCCCTCAATTAAAAAATGAATAAGGAAAATGTGGTACATTTATACAATGGAGTACTACACAGCAGAAAAAAAAATAATGACATCTTGAATTTTGCAGGCAAATGGATGGAGCTATAAAACATTATTTTGAGTGAGGTAACCCAGACCTAGAAAGACAAATATCATATGTACTCACTCATAAGTGGCTGTTATATATCAAGCAAAGAAAACCAGCCTACAAATCACAATCCCAGAGAACCTAGACAATAATGAGGACCCTAAGAGAGATATACATGGATCTAATCTACATGGGAAGTAGAAAGTATAAAAAGAAAAGATTTCCTGAGTAAATTGGGAGCATGGGGACCTTGGGAGAGGGTTGAAGGGGAGGGGAGAGGCAGGGAGGAGAGCAGAGAAAGATGTAGAGCTCAATAAAAATTTTAAAAAAAGTCAAGGAAGACATAAATAAAATAGATTTATCATGCTACTAGATTCAAATATTCACAACTGAGCACAGCTGTACAGACCTGTAATCCTAGCTACTTAGAAGACAGAGACAGGAAGATCACAAGTTCAAGACCTAGCTAAGGCTCAAAATTAATTCAAGGCATTATAGTGAGACCTTATCTAAAAAGAAAAGCTTAAAAGAAATGGCTGGGAATATAACCTCATGACAGGCAGCTGGCACAGCGTATCATCCTAGGTTTAATCATTAGTACTTGAAAAATAAAATAAAAAATAAACTAATTTCTTTCGTACATTTTATGGTATTTCAACTGAAATCCAAGCAAGATTTCTTTTTTTTTTTTTGTAGATACAAACAATACTCTTCTAAAATTTATATGGAAAGGCAGAAGAGTTTACAAAGACAAAATAAGATCGAAATTAGAAGAATCATTGCTTAGCTTTTAGACTTAATATTGAGCTATAGTAGTTAAGATGGTGCACTTCTGGTAAAATAATATACACACACTTTAACCCTCCCACAAAAGTACAGAAATACACTCATGCATATGTAGTCAATTGACTTTTTTTTATAAAAGCATAAAGGCAATTCAAGGGAGAAAAAAAATAGCCTTTCAACAAACTATATTCAGATACCTGGATAATCACATGAAAAACAAAAGACAAATATTTTACACAAATTAGAGATAAAAATGTAAAATATGCAATTATTTGACTTTTTTAAAAAGAGAAGCTGAAGGGAGAGCTCAGTTAGTAAGGTCACTGCCTTGTAAGCATGAGGACCCTAGTTGGATCCCTAGAACCTACACAGAAATGCTAGGACAAATGGGCAGTAAGTGCAAGAAAAAAAAATATTCATTGTATGTGATGGCACACGCTTGAAAACTTATCACTCAGGAGGCAGATACGGGGAGATCAGTGCAAGTCTAAGGACAGCATGGTCTACATGGCCAGTTTGGGGACAGCCAGACTACACAGTGAGTCCTCGTCCATAAACAAAACCAAAGGTTTCTATGAGCCACTTTTAAATACAAACTAAAACTATGCTTAGCACTGTGGGTATAGCTGAGTTGTAGCGTATTGCCTAGCTGGACAAGGTACTATACTATCAGAAATAAATCAGGACCAGCAGGATAATGCTTGCCACCATGTCTGACATGAGTTGGATTCCACATGGTAAAGGAGAGAACAGACTCTTACAGGTTGTCTTCTGACCACTACATAAGCATTATAGCATGCCTACTCCCCACACATGCATGCATGCTTGCATGCATGCATACATACATACAAAAATACAGAAAATTTAAGTTACAATATTGACCAAGCACTAGCAAGGAAAGAGATAACTACTGTGAAAAATGGTTTGGCATTGTCATAAATTTTAACATACACTTAACATATGTTCTAGAAATCTCAGTTCTAGATATTTACACTATGAAAATGAAGCACTACATTCATACAAAAGCTTGTATGCAAGTGTTCATAGCAGCTCTATTTGTAACTACTCAAGTTTATATCTAAATATTCTTTAAGGAATGTATGGATGAATGAACTGTTCATATACCCATAAAAATGAATTACTGATACACATACAATATCAAACAACTTAAAAATTCTTGTTTTTCTTTAAAATTTTTCTTTTCATGTGTGTTATGTGGGGAACAACAGTGTGTGTATGCCACATACATGGAAGTAGCCCTAGGGGCCAGAAGAGAGTGTTGGATTCCCGGAGTTATTTATAAGCAGTTGTGAGCTCCCCAACATGGATGCCGAGAAGTGAACTCAGGTCCTCTACACAAACAGTACATGCTCTTAACCACTGAGCCATTTCTCTAGCCCAATGTGAAAAAAATCTTAAAAGCATCATGCTGAATGACAAAAGATATTCTGAAGCTATTATATACCTTATGAGTCCATCCATGTAACATTATCTAGAAGCCATCCTATAGTGCCAGAGGCTAGCCAGGATTCTTATTTTATGGAGACTCATTTTAAATAGTCCTTTTTCTCATTATCTACTTTATTCTCCAGTAAGACATCCTTTATGTTAAAATATACATTAAGAATAACGATATGGCTCAGTGGGTAAAGGCACTTGCCACCAAGTCTGGTAGCCTGAGTTCATTGCCCAGAACCTACATGGTGGAAGAAGAAGACCAAGCTGTCTTCTAGCACATGGGCACCGTGGCTTACACATGCAGTAAACAAACAAAACATAATTAAAAGCATCAAAATTAGCTGAGGGTGTGGCTTAATTGTAGACTGCTTCTTTAGCACGTGCCAAGCCCTGGGTTTGACCCCTAGCATATGACACCGAAAGAAGGCACATAAGAGCATTAGCTGTCATAAGTAGGTTCTGGGGAATAAGACTTTAGGCAGTTTGTTTATTTTTTATTTTTTCAGAATATGTTTGTAGTATATTAATTATCAGTAGGAAAAAAACAAAGGAACGTTTCTATCCAGATCTCACAACATTTTTAAAGGAAATTTTAGAATTTTAGCCAGTAAGCAGGGGAAAGCTGGGGACCTCTGAAAAGAACAGAGAACTTGGTAGTGTAGCAAGCTAGAGTAAGAAAGCTGGTGAAGGCCAGCGAGATGGTTCAGCAAGTAAAGCCACTTGCCACCAAGCCTGACAATATGAGTTGGATTCTTACAGCCCACATGATGGAAGGAGAGGACTGATTCCCACAAACTGTCCTCTGCCCGCCACACCCGTGGCACGGCATGTAGACAGCTGCAAACGTGTGTACACAAAGTCAAGTCTTTAAATGAAAAATACAGAGAGCTGGTGATTCTCGGGGAGGGAAAGGCTGACTCACCTGAGACTGTTTGAAAACATCCTTCCCAACCACATCCAGATTTGAGGGGTCTTTGATGGCGCTAACATACTCAGAAACAGCCTTGATCACGACATCACAGGGTGGAAGAACCAACTGATGAGCTCGGACCTAGAAAAGACATGATCAGTAAGGGACACCAAAGTCAAAGACACCGTTAAAGGCTAGGCTCGCAGCCAAACATATAAGAGTTTGGTTCCCGGCACCCACAGCTGTAAACTTGGTAATTTCTAGGAGTGATAAAGTCCATATGCATATGTAGGGTAACATGCAAACATTTTAGAGACATACACAAAGAATGTGCAAATGAAATAACTTGCCATATTGGCAATAACAAGAAAATCCAGAACGCATGGCAAAATCTTGATAGTTGGTCTAAATCATTAAACAATTGTGAATAAATGGAATAATCTATTGTTTTGCCCATGTTTGTGATATTCAAAAAAAGGCAATGTAATGATTCCTAATACTACTCTGCTATACTCATAGACTGGTACCTAGCCCAACTGTCATCAGTGAGGCTTCAGCCAGCAACTGATGGGAGCAGATGCAGAGACCCACAGCCAAACAATAGGTGGAGCTTAGGATGCCCTGTGGCAAAATGGGAGGAAGAACTGTATGAGCCAGAGAGGTAGAGGACACCACAAGAACATGGCCCACAGAGTCAACCAGCTTGGGCTCATAGGGAATCAGAGACTGAAACAACAATCACGGACCCTGTATGGGTCCGAGCTAGGTGCTCTGCATATATTTTATGGTTGTTAGTTGTTTCTGTGGGGCTCCTAACAGAGGGAGTTGAGGATGTCTCTGACTCTTTTCCCTGTTCTTGGTACCATTTTCCTCCTACTGGGTTGACTCTTCCAGCCTTGATGGAAGGGTTTAAGACTTCCCTAGGAGGCCTGTTCTTTTCTGAAGGGAAAGAATGGAGCAGTAGTAGGTTCTGGGGACAGGGAAGTTTTGGGGATATCGAGAGGAGTGAAGAGAGGGGAAATACTGGTTGGGATGTATTATGTGAAAGAAGAATAAATACATTAATACACAAATAATGAATGAATAAATGAATAAATATAAAGGGAAATATTTCATGCTATGCAGAAATGTAGGTTTTGTTACCGCATTTAGAGTTCTTTAAGTCTAATAATTATAGTTCTTTACATTGTAATGATTGAGTCAATGGTATACATTTTCAAAAGGCTTTTGATAAAATTCATTTTGTTGGGGGTGGAAGAGAGGGCTCAGCAGTGAATAGCACATATTGTTCTTCAAGAGGACTTGAGTTCAATTCCAAGTACCTACATACCAGGCGGCTCACAACCATTTGTAACTCTAGTTCATATAGCCTCTGTGGGCAAAATACATTCATGTGCATATATCCCCCTACATGCATATGTATAACTAAAATTGAATTTAAAAAGCAAGATTCATAGACATCTAGAGTAATAAGGGGTCATTTGGAGAGAAAAATGTTTTACCAATACACTGCATCATTCATTCCTCAAAAATCAGCTATTGATGGAGCTGGAGAGATGGCTCAGAGGCTAAGAGCACAGGCTGATCTTCCAGAGGACCCAGGTTCAGTTTCTGGCATGCATATGACAGCTAAAAGACGCCTCTAACTCCAGGGTATCCACCACTGTCTTTTGGCCTCCATGGGTACCAGGCATGCATAGACATACAAGCAGGTAAAACACCCATACACACAAAAGTAAACAGAAATAAAAAATCATTTTTTAAAAAGTTACTATGTCTGGTGTGATAGCACACACCTTTAACATTAGCACTTGGATGCTTAAGCAAACTTCTATGAACGTGAAGCCAACTTGGTCAACTTATATACTAAGTTCTAGGTCTGCCAGGACTATGTACAGAGACCCTGTATCAAACAGTTACTGTCAAGCAACGGCCAGATACTGTCCTAAGGTACCAGAGACATAGCAGTAAATACAAAAGACAAGAACTCTGCCTTCATGGCAGCAGGAATATTAAATGTGGTTGGGATAAGCTGATGTGCATATGTATGTATATGTGCATGCACACCTATATAATTTTAAATAATAGGATTGGGAAAAGCCTCATTGAGAAAATGACATTTAACAAAACTTTTATGAGTGAGAAAATAGCTGTGTAAGAAAAAAAGGCAATCTAAGTAGAGAGAATGTTAAATATGAACCTTCTAAGGGGCTAGGAAACTCTGGGGATGGCAAGCTATGAGAAGGACTGCGTGACATAAACAGTCATTATAGGATTTTAAACAGGAAAGTGACATGCTCTGAATCCTCTTTTAAAATTAGTATATATTACTATACAAGAGTAGGTTTCATTATGATATTTTCATGTATGAATATTATAAATTTTGATCATATTCACCTCTTCATTACACTCTCATCCTCCTCCTCTTAATAGTCTCCTTATTTATCCCAATTAGTCTAGTCCTCTACCCTATCAGGTTTTTTGCTCAGACTAAATAAGACAGATTCATAATGCTAAAGAACAAATCTTAGAGCTGGGGATATAGTATGGAGGTAGAATGATTTCCTATCATGTCTAAGGCTCTGGGTTCAATTCCAAGCTGCTGTGGAACAATCTTTGGTACACTATAAATATGTATTACTCTCATTGTTAATAAAAAGCTGATTGGCCAATGGCTAGGCAGGATCTGGGGGCAGAGAGAATGCTGGGAAGAAGAAGGGTGGAGTAAGAGGAGTTGCCAGTGAGACACAGAGAAGAAACAGGAGGTGCAAGATGAAAGAGAAGTAACGCCACATGGCAGAAATGTAAATGAATAGAAATGGAATAAGTTTAAGAGCTAGTTAGTAATAAGCCTGAGCTATTAGCAGAGCATTTATATTTAATATTAAGTCTCCGTGTCGGTTATTTGGGAATGGGTGGGTGGCAAAGAAAAGTCTATCTATACTGAGTACTGTCAACATTTTTCAAAAACAAATCTGTATACTGTGCATATATGTATATGTGTGCATGTATGCATGTGTGTGCAACTGTGTGTGTGTGTAAAACATATGTTGGGGGGGGGTCCAGATGCACATACACAGGGAAACCAAGGGTCACCCTAGATTATTGTTCCTCAGAAGTGGTTCATCTTGTTGTTAAGACAGAGTCAATCATGGTACATGGGGCTCCTCAACGAGGGTAGGCTAGTTGGCCAACAAGCCTCATGAATCCTCCTCTCTCTGTCTTCCTGGCACTGGGATTACAAGCACAAAGCATCTTGCCTTTTAATGTGGGTACTGGGGCTAGAACTCAGATCCTCATGCTTATGCAGCAAGCAGTTTACTAACTGAACTATCTCTTCAGACCCAAGAACAAATTTTCTTCTACACTTTTCTAAAGCACTAAGAGCCTGTGGCATAGTAATTTTTGCACACAGTGCAAATGATCTAACTACCCTCAAACGGCCATCTTAGTTTCACCTTCAAAGTTCCTAAAACCTTACACATTTTTGGCAGTACTAGAGATTGAACCCAGGTCCTCACATGTGCTCAGCAAGCTCTCCCTCATTGAGCTACATCTCCAACTTGAACACATACTTTTAAGAGGCCATTATGAAAACTATCAACAAACGTGTTGGAATGACAGCTGAGTGTTTAGGAGACTGGCAAGTAAAATGAAAACAGAGAGGCGACCATTGGGTTTATTGGTAACGTTGTTAAGGGCAGTTTCAGCAAATCAGGTTACAGAGGCAGGAGGATAGTAAACAGCTCAAGTACAGCCTCCCCACCCCCAACCCTGTGGTGGTGGTGGTGGTGGTGGTGGTGTGTGTGTGTGTGTGTGTAGGTCAGAGGCCAACATCACTCTTCAGTAGCCATCCACTTAGTATTCTGAGACAAGATCTCTGATTAGGACCCAGGTTCACCAGTTAAGCTAGGCTGGCTGACAAGAGAACCCTAAGAATCTGCCTGTTTCCATCTCCCCAGGGCTAGAATTATAAGCATGAGCCACCATCCATTCTTTTTGTTTTTCATGTCTGGGAATCAAATGCCTTATGTTTGTGTAGCAGGTAAGTATCAATGGAAGCATCCCCACCCTTGCCCTCAGAAAATTCTTTGGAAGAGTATACTGTAAGAAGAAAAATAGAGCAATAGCTTAGGTGGCCAGGGGTAAGGTCAGCAGAGGGGTTTGGGCCTGGACAGATGCTTAATTGACAAAGTGCTTGCTGTACAAATGCAAAAACCTGTACTCAGATCCCTAATACTTGTATAAAAGGTCAGATATTAGCAACACACACCTGTTATCCCAATGATAATACACACACACACACACACACACACACACAAAGGGTTTTTATCTTCAAACCTGAATCATACACAGCCATCCATAGTAGCATATGCTTATAATCTTAGAACCCAGGAGGTTGAAGCCAGAGACTTTTGAGTAAGTTCAAGGCTAGTTGGTATCAGGCCTTATCTCCAATTTTAAAAAAGAATTGGGGCTATAGAAATAGCTCAGAGGTTAGGAGCATTGGCTATTCTTCCAGAAGAACCAAGTTCAATCCCCATCATTCATATAGCAGCTCACAAACATCTGTAACTTCAGTCCTAAGAGATGTGATACCCACTTCTGGCTTCTGCAGACACTATGCACGCATGTAGTAAACAGACATACATGCAGACAAAGCACTCATGCATAGGAAATATATTTAAATGGAAAAATACACAGAAATTTTGAAAAGGATCATGCTTCTACATCAAATGGGAAATAGCCAATGAAGCAAGGAAAAAATGATGCAGGAGAAAGAATTGTAGGCAGAAGTTGCTCATTTTTCCCAGGCCACTCAGACCCAAAATAATTACACAAAACTGTATTAATTTAATCACTGATTGTCCTATTAGGTCTAGCTTCTTATTGGCTAGCTCTTACATCTTAAATTAACCCATCTTTCTGTATATGTGTTGCATTTATTGGTTAATGAATAAAGAAGCTGCTTTGGCCTGTGATAGGGAAGAATAGAACTAGAAAGGAAAACTAAACTGAATGCTGGGAGAAAGAAGGTAGAGTGAAGAGAAGCCATGTAACCCCACCAGAGGCAGACGCTGGGGACAGAGCTTTACCGGGTAAGCCACAGCCATGTGGCAATACACAGATTAATAGAAATGGATTAATTTAAGGTATGAGTTAGGCAGAAAACCACTTAAGCTATTGGCCAAACAGTATTGCAATGAATATAATTTCTGTGTGATTATTTCGGGAGTCTGGGCAGCCAGGAAATGAACAAGTGGCCTCCTACTACACTGCCACAAGTGCCAAAGGGCGTTGGTTCTTCTTTAGATTTCGTAGCAGTAAATTCCATTTTTAATTTTTGCTAAACTATTAAAAAAATGGTCACATCACTCATCTGATGTACATGTCTGGTCACTAGTGAGGTTGAGCATCTAGTCAAATGATTAGCCACTGTATTTCTGCTTTTGTCAATTTTTCTGACTCAGTCTTTTACTCATTTTTGTCACTATTGAGGCATTTTTCTTTGCCAGTTTGTATGAATTCTTATGTTCTAGGTATTATCAGAACTAATTTTTATCTGCAGGTAAAATATAGTTTTACTTTATTCTAAGGGGAGAATGTGAACAGAGCTCACACTACCACAAATTATGCTGTCAAGTAATATCATAGTAATCAGCACATGCCAAATATAACCGCCTTCCTAATCAGTGTCTCCACTGCAAGCTAAGTATTATAATTTAAACCTAATGAAAGAGGACACCGAGGAACGTGCCAAACTGCATGGGGAAAAGCCCACCGAGTCCTTAACCCTACACAGAGAACTAGAGGCAAGTGAGTAAAGCTGGGACTGGAAGAGGTGGTCCTCCCAAGGGAAGAGCACACCAATTCCTTATCTAGTGCCAAATTGTCGGCCCTGAAAACAGACGTTCAGGTAGCATTATATGGACTCACCAGATTATATTTAGGAATATATATGTATATACAAATATATGTGTACATGCAAAAACAACTGATGAAAAGAAAAGGGCCATAAACTTGATGGATGAGTGGATAGGGATATATGGAAGGGTTTAGAGGGAGGAAAGGGAAGGAAGAAGTGTAATTAAAATACAACCTCAAAAACAAACAAAAACAAATAAACAAAAAGACTTTAAAAGCAAAGACTTTAAAAAATCTAATGAAAGATAATTTTTCTACACCATCAAAGTTCAATCAAAAGTTGATGCGTCCTAATTGTACAGGGGCAAAATAGGGCATATTACCTTAAGTGATGCAAGAGGATGTTCTGGTCCCAAAAGGCTCCAGTGAAAAGCAGCCAAGTCTTCATCAGGTAGAATGTGGTTACCTATAAAATAGACATTTCATTTATTCACTGTATAGTTTGCTTAAATCATAAAGAGGATCCTCTGGGAGAGAAAATACCTGAATTACACATAGACCCATATTCTCTTTATTTTTGAGACAGGGTTTTTCTGTGTAGCCCTGGCTATCCCGGAACTCACTCTCTAGACGAGGCTGGCCTCAAACTCACAGAGATCTGACTCTCTCTGACTCTTATGTTCTGGGATTAAAGATACGCTCTACTATGCCAAATTAGGTCTATGTTATTATTATCATTATTATTATTTTGGAGACAGGTCTCACTATATACCTATGGGTGGTCTGAGATTTGATATATACACCAAACTGGTTTCCAACTAAAAGGTCCACCTGCCTCTGCTTCCCAAGTGCTGGGATTAGAGGCATGCACCATAACACCCAGTAAGCCTATATTCTTAATGTAATAATTAATTAAATTAAGTAATTAAGTAGTTATCTATGTACTAATTATCTACTCTGTACCATGAGTATCTCCTTTATAATGATCAAATCTTAAAGTTTTATCTCCATTTTATAGACAAGGAAACTGAGATTCGAACAAGCTTAGTGACTTGGCCCTAGGTAGGCCTATACTAAAACAAAAAAAAAATAGGACTGTCAGACTCTCAACTGCATGGCACTACCCATTATCACAGGAAATGGGAAACTGTTACCTAGCTGTGCTGCCTTTATAATAGAAATTACTGATTACTCGACAAGTTCAAAGCACTTTCCATATCTCATTTTACTCAGCCACAGTAACACTGTGGATTATAACTACTTTCATTTCTGAGATGAGGAAAATGAATCCAGGGAAGCGGGACTTCAGTGATAATTGCACAAAATCTAATTTGAAAACGTAGGCTGATTCAATCACATTATTCAAAGTGATGTTCTTTGTGCTTACAGGTCACAGCTATACCAGTATATTAATGTTCATACTGGCAATACTTGGAAAACCAATTCCAAATATTAATTCTGCAATTTACTTTGAAATGCATCTTTGCTGGGCAGTGGTGGTGCACACCTTTAATCCCAGCACTCGGAAGACAGAAGCAGGCAGATCTCTGTGAGTTCGAGACCAGCCTGGTCTACAGAGAAAGTTCCAGGACAGGCTCCAAAGCTACAGAGAAACCCTTCTCAAAAAACAACAAAAAAATTTGCATCTTTAAAAGAAGGCCTGAAAGTTGGATGTAACAACACATGCCTGCAATCCCAGCATTAGGAGGGTTAAGGCAGGCGGATCTTATGATTGAAGCTACACAGTGAGACCCGGATGAAAAATGAAACAACAAAAAAGAAACCCAGTGGGTGTATGGATAGAGGAATTGCTAGGGACACGAGAAAGTTCCGCGAATGATAATGGCAGGGTACTAGCCCTGGATATGGACTTTTCACTGCAAATGAATTATGCTGAATACTGTTCAAAAGTACTCCTAACAAAAAGGACCGAGAGCAGAACTAGTCCACACAGCTTCCTGGTCTAAATCTAGATTTTGAAAAAGAAATGCTAATAATCAGAGTAGAGAAGAAAAGAAAACTTGGACTAGTGAAACATTGGACTCTGCATGTAAGTTCTGCAATATAATTCGAGGCCAGCCTGCTCTACAAAGTGAGTTCCAGGATAGCTCGGGCTACACACTGAAACCCTGTCTCAAAAAATCCAAAAAAAATGTTCTCATATTCATAACTGACATTTATATGTTCATATTCTTATCACAAGTTAATAGGTTCATAACATACTAAGTACTAAGTTTTTCAGATCATCTGCTAAGAACCCCTGCCTACTGCTTTTCAGTATTTCTTTTAAAAAAAAGTATTTCTACTTTTTTTTTTTACAGTATTATATGGTATGAGAACTTCAGGTTTTGTTTTTTTGAGACAGGGTCTTTCTCATATAGCACAAGTTGACCTTGACTATGTGGCCAAGGATGGTCTTAAATTTCTGATCCTTGTGTTTCTACCTCCTGAGTGCTAGAATTATAGGCATGTTACACTACACCCAGGTATGTGGTTCTAGGATTGAACACAGGACCACATGTATGCTAAATAAGTACCCGAACAACTAAGCTACATCCCAAATCAACATGAAGTCTCTAAAAAAGCAAACCCAATACTGCCAGGCTAAACTACTCGAGTCTGCTCATCCTATCTTTGCAAGAAGAAACTTTACCAAACACTGGATTCTCTGGCTTAGACGACCTACCAAGCAGTGCAGCAAATATGGGGAAATTTATTCGCTTCAAACCGAGCTGCTTGGCCACTTCCTGCATCAGGAACTGGTTGGTTGTGAGGTTCTTCCCATTCCAGCTGAGCTTCAGCGCATGGGAACTGTAGTAAGATGGAATATTGTAGAGCGCATATTCGGAGTCATGAGCAAGAAGACCATGAAAGCCATTTTCTCTGAAAAAAGCCACCACTTCCAAATGGTGGTCTTCCAGGCTCTGAAAGACCTAGGAGAGAAGAAAAAGAGAACATGTCATGACCCAGAAACTGATCTATATGCATCTAACAAGATTAGAAATCAGGAAGGATGGTGCCTAATTTATGATGATAAAATTTTAGATTATCTTTGGCCAAAAAGAACAAAACAAGCAAATTGTATATCAGCTTAGAATATGATTGTGCTTGTACACATGTCTACTAACTGTCCAACCCTTAAGTTGTAAAATCAACACACTATTCCTTGATGTACACTATATTAATTATTTAATATAATACTAAATCTCTGGTTTCTGCTTGAAGCCATAACAGAGATCTTCTTTTTTTTTTTTAAACATTTATTTATTTATTATGTATACAATTCTTTCTGCATATATGCCTGCAGGCCAGAAGGGGGCACCAGACCTCATTACAGATGGTTGTAAGCCACCATGTGGTTGCTGGGAATTGAACTCAGGACCTTTGGAAGAGCAGGCAATGCTCTTAACCACTGAACCATCTCTCCAGCCCAACAGAGATCTTCTTAAGAAAAACAAAGAAATTATTCAGTAGCTATGTACTGTGCATATTCTACCTGTATAATCTTATCACAACAATCATGGTAAGGTATATATGAATCAAAGTATTTAGAAGTGGAAATAGAAATCTTAGTTCATCTATCAGGTTTTTTTTTTATGGACATTGATGTTCTGCCTGCATGCAAGTCTGTGTGAGGGTGTCAAATCCCCCTGGAACTGGAGTCACAGACAGCTGTGAGTTGCTGTGGGGGTGCTGGAATTGAAGCCGGATCCTCGGGAAGAGCAGCCACTGCTCTCAACTGCTGAGCCAGATCTCCACACCCTCACCTATCAACTTTTTCAAACATGGATTTATTTGTTTATGTGTATGTATGTATGCTGAATGTGTCCCTGTGCATCAGTGCATGGAGATTCCCGTGGAAGTCAGAAGAGGTCACTGGATCCCCTGGAACTAGAGTTGCAAGCAGTTATAAACTGCCCAAAGTGGGTGCTAGAAACCCCCAGGTCCAGCATAGCACCCCCCTTTCACAGTTCTTGTTTCTTCTCCCCTTAGGAGCATCTTAAGAAAGGCAAGTGCTTCTACAAGGGAGGTTTCTCACAGGGTTCCCCAGAGGAAACCCACAGAGATTATTTCCATTAGTCAAGGGTCAAAATTTTACCCTATTTTAAAAACAGAAACAAAGCTGTAAAAGGATGGCTGGCCTTAAAGCTATTTGAGTAAGATACGACGGAAGCTGACCTAACTCCAGCATACATATCACTTCTGGTACCAAGCACACTCCCCAAACAGCACTATTTTTAATAGAAACAGAGACAGCCTATTACATACCCTTCCTGCACATGCTCTATTTGGTGTAAATGAAGCATACCAAAGTTACCTGTACACTGGCTCCACCAGACTAAGTTCCTTGACTACAGAGACTTTATCGCTGCATTTTTGGCCTCCATTGTTATTGGCTCTACCATTCAGGCTCCACGCTGGTGCATAGCACTACATACTAATGACAATACTAACAGGTCCTAACTATGTGCTATGTGCAAAGCAATAGACCTTTATACTTTATATGCATTAATTCATTTATATGTAAAAAATCCTATGAGGCCATTTATCTCCAAAGTCATATAGCTAGAAAGAGAAAAGCCCAGACTTGTTTGGTTCTACAGTCTATAGATCTTGATAATGTCTTTGAACTCAGAAGACCTATTGTTTGCCATTGCAGTCGTTGCTGCTTTGGTTTTTTGAGACAGGGTCTTACTATATAGTTCTGGCTGGTCTGGAGCTCACTATGTAGGCCAAATGAGCATCAACCTCATAGAGCTCTGCCTGCCTCTGCCTTTCGAGTGCTTGCTCACATTAAAGGTATGTATCATCATGCCTAGCTCAACTGATATGTCTTGATGTTCTAAAGTAATAATAATTTTGTGGAGTGTAACAAGAGTTTCAATACATTAAAATTGGTAGGATGTAGAAAGAGTTTAATCACTGTTGATATTCATGTCACACATGAGGTCACATAAGGACAAAGGCACAAATAAGCAGAAAGCACAGCAAAGTATTAATTTAATATCTAGGCAAAGGAACCAAAGTGTTATAACATATTTATACCTACAGATACAGTTAACTCCAGATGTGCCAGAGTAAGGAATGGTTTTATGCTGTCTTCTGATGATATTTTCTTCCAGCACACTATACATAAGCGATTCTACCAGGGAACCCCTACAGCTCATAAACACCTTCAACAAAGTGACTGGATACAAAATTAACTCAAAATAAAATCAGTATCCCTCCTTTATGCAAATAATAAACAGGCAGAGGAAGAAATCAGGGAAACAATACCTTCACAAGAGCCACAAATAATATATCTTGGGATAACTATAAGCAAACAAGTGAAAGACCTATATGACAAGAACTTCAAGTCTTTGAAGAAAGAAACTGAAGAGGAGGGGGCTGGAGAGATGGCTCAGAGGTTAAGAGCACTGCCTGCTCTTCCAGAGGTCCTGAGTTCAATTACCAGCAACCACATGGTGGCTCACAACCATCTGTAATGAGGTCTGGTGCCCTCTTCTGGCCTGCAGACACGCACACAGACAGAATATTGTATACATAATAAAAAAATATTAAAAAGAAACTGAAGAGGATACCAAAAAACAGAAAGATCTTCCAATGCTCATGGATCAGTAGGATTAACATAGTAAAAATGGCCATCCTACCAAAAGCAATCCACAGATTCAATGCAATCCTCATCAAAATCCGAACATAATTCTTTTCAGACTTTGAAAACACAATACTCAACCTCAGATGGAAAAACAAAACAAAACAAAAAAACAGGATAGCTAAAACAATCTTGTAAAATAAAATTAAAAAAAACTTCTGGAAGTATCACCGTCCCTGATTCCAAGCTCTTCCACAAAGCTATAGTAATAAAACCAGCACGGTGCTGACATAAAAATAGACAGATAGATCAGCGGATTCAAAACAAAGACCAAAAAGTATATCCATACACCTGTGGACACTTATTTTTAACAAAGAAGCAAAAACTATACAGTGGAAAAAAGAAAGCATCTTTAACAAATGGTGCTGGCATAACTGGATGTCGGCATATAGAAGAATGCCAATAGATCCACATCTATCACTGTGCATAAAACTCAAGTCCAAGTGGATCAAATACCTCAATACAATCCAGATACACTGAACCTGATAGAAGAGAAGGTGGACAACAGTCTTGAGCGCATTGGCACAGGAGACAACTTCCTGAACAGAACACCAATAGCAGGCACAAAAACTGACAATTAATAAATGGGACCTCATGAAACTGAAAAGCTTCTGCATAGCAAAGGACACTGCCCACAGGACAAAATGGAAGCCGACAGAATGGGGAAAGATCTTAACCAGCTCCACATCTGACAGAGCGCTAATTTCCAAAACATAAAGAACTCATGAAACTAGAAATCAACAAACCAAATAATCCAATTAAAAATGGGTTACAGATCTAAACAGAGAGTTCTCAAACAGAAGAAATTCAGATGGCCGAGATACCACATCCTTAGCCATTAGGGAAATGCAAATCTAAATGACTCTGAGATTCCATCTTAGACCTGTCAGAATGGCTAAGATCAAACACAGTGACAGCTGATGCTGGCAAGAATGTAAAAACCCGACTGTCCTGTAGCGCCCGTGCCACTACAAGACGGTCCACAAGCTGGAAACCGAGCCGGAACGGGGCTGAGAGACTTTAAAACACATAGAGACACAGACACGGGTCATCCTTGATACAGGAATGCCAATGCCAAGTTTACTGTGGTCAGAGGAAGCTTATACAGAGATCCTTAACCACGCCCAGGTCTCGGGATCTTTCAGCTGCCGGCACACCAGCTTGCCATCAGGGTCTGGTGCTCAGAGCAGCTGCAGGCAGTCTCGCGCTCAGAGTAGCTGTCGGCTGCTCAGAGCAGAAGAAAACAAGTTTTGCTCAGAGCGGCTGCAAGCATAGGAAAAACAAGCCGCTCACAGGGAATTCAGGGTCCGGAGATCCACAGCCCCCAATAGCTGCCAACACAAGGGGAACTCCTCCCTGCTCGTGGGAGTGCAAACTTGTACAGCTACTTTGGAAATAATGATGGCAGTTTCTCAGAAAATTGAGAATAGATCTATCTCAAGAGCCAGCAATGCCACTCTGGGGCATATACCCAAAGGATGCTCCATCCTACCACAGGGACACTTGCTCAACTATGTTCATAGCGGCTTTATTCAAAATAGCCAGAACCTGGAAGCAGCCTAGATGGCCCTCGACCAAAGAATGGATAAAGAAAATGTGGTGCGTTTACACAGGGGAGTATTACTCAGCAGTAAAAAAACAATGGCATCATAAAATCTGAAGGCAAATGAATGGAACTAGAAAAAAATTATCCTGAGTGAGACAACCCAGAAAAACAAGCATGACACTGATAATTGGATATCAGCTGTAAAGGATAACCATGTGGAATTGAATTCACAGACCATAGAAGCTAAGTCACAAGGAGGACTCGGGGGGGGGGGGGGCCTTAAATCTCCCTGGGAAGGGGAAATAGGATAGATTGGGGGCGGGTGGGGATGGGAACAGGAGAGATCTGGTGGGGGAAAGATGGAGGGGAAGAGTCCTGGAAGAGACGTCTGGAATGGAGGGGGCGTCTCTGGGATGAGCAAGAAACCTAGTGTAACGGAAACTCCCAGGAAGCTTCAAGGCTAAACCCTAGCTAAGACTCCTAGTAATAGGGGATAGGTGGCCTAAACTGGGCATCTTCTGTAACCAGGCAAGACTTCCAATGGAGGGACTGGAACACCAACCCAGCCACATAACCTTCAACCTCCATTTGTCCTGCCTACAAGATGTGCTGGGGCAAAGTTGGAGCAGAAATTATTGGAATGGTTAACCAATGTCTGGTCCAGCCTGAGACCCATGATATGAGAGGGAGCCCACCCCTGACAGTTCCTAGAGCACAGGAGCCAGAGGCTAGAC